CCGCTGGGTGCGCCTCGCGATGCCGGTTCATAACAAGTCGGCCATGGTAATAGTGTATTCGCACTGCTGACGGGAACAAATTTGTGATGAAGACATACCATCCGTGTGGTTTCAAGTTGATGGCCCGCGGCTTGGTCCACCAGCGGCATTGCTTCGCCTGCTGTGGGCCGGCCTGCCAGTTGATGATGCCCCAGTACGGGTCGAACTTGTGAAGATGGATGCAAAAACTGCAGTAGTAGAGGTGGTTGCCAACGCCCGTGTCTCTTTCCAGAGTTTGCAGAAAGGCTTTCAGATGCATTGGGTTCATTGGCCGCAGGTAGCCGTGGAGGCAGCGAAGTAGGGCCTTGCTCGACATGTATAATGCTGCTTGGTCAGCGGGACGGAGATGCCAGGCGATGTGCAGGATCATCTCGAGCGGCAAGTCGAGAATTGGCGTTCCATTTGTGGCCTTGGGCTGCACTCCACGACAGCTCGGAGACGTGGAGGACTGGCGGGACGCAGGTCGTGGCTGGTGTCGCAGAAACTCGACCACAGACACGTCTTTTATCAGTTCAATTAACTCTTCCGTCTCGTCCTTGGCCATCCTGACGGAACTGCAGGAGCTGGGCGTCCGAAGGGCTTCTGGCGAAAAAGAGTCGAGTAGGCAAAGAGGTCTTTCACCTGCCGTGTCGAGGCGTGCGTGGTGCTGGTTGAACAGCCGACGCGCAGAGGTACCCCATAGTGCTTGGCCGCGACCTGTCGATATGGATTTGGAGAGCCTGTCGGAGATGCGAGGCTGACTGGGAGAGTTGAAATTCTGAAAGGTTAAGACTTTCCAGGCAAATCATGAGGCCATCAAGGTCAAGCTTTGCGTCGAGCAACTAGCTCCGCTGGTAGAAGTGCCCGTAAACCTTATGTCGAGCGAGGACTCACGAGATTTGTGTTCTGGTTGAAGTCGATAAGTTGAAATGAAGTACAATTGCGGTTTGCAGTAGACCCTCCTAAAGGGCGTCTTCGAGACTGTCCAGCGTTCAACTGCAGTCCTTGATATGATCGTGCACCAGTCGTGGTATGATGTACCATCACCGGCAGCCTAGGTTCAAGGCATGAAGTAGTAGAAAACTTGCCAATACCAGGTTTCTGCAGTAACAATGGGCCAGCCGGATGTCACATTCGCCAACTGAGTTCGCGAGTCTGAAAGAAAGCCCCGGGTGGTCGAGGGCTTTGCTGGGGCTGGAACCAATGTGATCATGATGAGGCTTTCAGCCTGCAAAGGAACCATCACCGGAACATCTAGGGAACAACTAGGGAACCGAACGGGTCTACGCAACGCAGCACCGGATGAATTCACGTGAACAGCGGCTTCTTGAAGAAGCTGCCATCGTTTCATGAGGGTTGCAAACTGCCATGACCCCTCGAAGGGTTAGCCGCAGAAAATGCTTCCCAGCGAACAGCATGAATAAACTCACATCTAGTCACTCAGCTAAGGTGCCTCATCAATAGCCGACGTCGAACAATCGTCAGTGGACTACTATTCAATGGGGCTGGTCCATTGACGACAGTCAGCTTCGCCGTGGTAGGTTGCTGATGCGCAGCATTGGCGCCAGGAGCGAAGGACAGGTCCCATCGTGGCCAGCTGATCACTTCCCGGCACGTGTGACTATACAGACACAGCTGCGTATACCTGGCAGTCTGCGACTGGGAGACAAGACCAGAAAGTGCTGCTCCCCAGCAGCAGTGCCTACAGCAGTGCCCACCTGGCCGCTGGCGGCTCTTCAGACACGACAGCAGAACCTATCATCAAGTCCTAGCGGCTGTTGTGGGAATACGGTATTCTATCATTTCAGACGGCACGACCGGAGAACCCTGCCGTTGCTCGAGGTATTTTGAGTATCAAAGGTAGCTTGTGTGCTAAAGGTAGCTTGGGTGCCAGAGATCGCTTGAATAACACAGGAACCCGAGATGAATCCGAGGAGACTCGCCAAGGTCGAGCCCCAAAGATTGCTGGTCAGCAAGTCCTAGTCTATATCCCACCTACGGCCATCCATCTCAGTGCGCTATCGAAACAACCAGAGACACCCGCTCACTCACAGACTCCTTGCCTCGCGCCATTTCTCAGGCCGTCAGCGAGAAACACAGAAATAAAAAAGAAACAGAAACAGAAACAGAAAAATAATCAAACGCCGCGTCGCCGGGCACAGAAAAGCCCATCGTCACACCCGACTTGTCTCTCTGTCTCTGCACATCTTGTCGTGGAACACAGCCTGCCTGCCTCCCTGCAAAACAAGCCCCCACCAGAGTCCGTTATGCAGACATGAATTGTGCACGCCCCCCCCCCCACCCCAAAACCAGCCAGCCGCTGGACATGGTACATACATGTACGGTACGAATGAGGCGCACAAAAGAGCGAGGGCACACCCGGACAGACGCCCGCGCAGCCCACCACCACTCGGTTGTTTCGCGCAGATTGATCGCAATCTCCCGCCTGCTTCCAACCATGGCACACGTACTTAGCTTCTGGTTCTGGACTGTTCAGCCCCACCCGTGGGAAATGAGATGAACCATAGAGTTCAGACCACTCCCCCCCACCCGCGCCGTTCTGCCTTGGTTGTAACGTCCATCAGCCTGCCCTCTCCACAATCTGGGGAAGGTCGCGCTGCCCGCCCCGGAAAAGAGCTGTTTTGGTCGTTAACTTTGCGTGTTCGCCGCTTCCCGATTTAGGCTCACTTTGAAGATGTCAAGTCACATAGTTGCAGCGAATTCTCCACAAAATCATCGTTCAAAAATGCGTAGTCGTGCCGTGCCAAAAACACTATTCACGACAACGCGGTACAGATTAGAAAATTAGGTACAGAGTGTCTGTGGGTGATAGTGTTGTGTTCGATATCTTGCCATGCCGTAAGATGCTAAATTATAGTCCAGGAAAATTGAAGGGAGCAACGACAAATCGCTCCTCTTTATACATTGAGACTCCCAGCTGAACACCTCCGTGATGTCGTGAAATCCAGTTTTCTCCAGTACTCCTCGTTACCTCCTAGCGGTCTTTTCTCAGTGCAGAAGAGACAGACGCTTAAGCGAAAGCGTAGGCGGCAAGGGCGGCGAAGGCCGCGACGAAGACGGAGCCGGAGACACCGGCAGCACCGGCCTCAACGGGGGCGGTGCCGGTGGGAACGGCAGGGACGGTCTGGTTGCCGTGGCCGGCGGGGTAGGTGGGGACGGCAGGAGGGTGGACGGGGATGGTGGCGGAGGGAGCAGAGGGAGTAGGGCAGGGAACCTCAACGGTCTCGTAGATGACGGTGGGGACGACGT